ATCCCAAGATTTTCTGCAAAGTTCTCCATTGTCTGCAACATTTGGCCAGCTCTTTGCAAGTGTTTTGATTAAGACTGTGTTTTCTCAATATAATTAAAATACAACTTAAGTTTTACCTTTCTGTAATTATTTATTCAATACCTTGTTACCATTTCAAGAAGGGACCCTTAAAAATAAAATCTCTCCTTTACTTGGAGTTCATTTAAATAAAATACTTGTGATAAACTTTGTGCCGCTCAGTCTGTTGCCTCTTATTGTTGCAACTTTGCATGGTAAACTGAATATGTGTGGAACTACTTGAAATTCCTCGCTCACTCAAAGTTACAAGTTAACTAAGTTTTTTTGATAACCAGTATAATTGATATGCATTTTTTCCTGTTTCAAGCAACTACTCAATGGTAAATTTACACTAAAAATGAGAAATGAAGCAACCTAGATATATTGTGATTATTTTTCTACAACTTAATGTAGAATATTAAAACAAAAGAATGCAAAAAATAGGAGCAGGACTAGACCCTTTGGCCCCTCAAACCTGACCCACCAATCAACAACTAATGGCTAATCAGTCCAGGCCTCAACTCCTCTTAAATGCCAGCTCAACATTGTCATCAACTCCCTGTTATTTCAAAAATCTACCTCTTCTTGAAATACTTCTAATGATCTAGCCTCCACAATGCTCTGGAACAGAAAATTTCAGAAATTCGCTATCCTTTGAGAGAAGAAATTCCTACGCATCTTAATTTTAAATAAGCACTCCCTAATTTAGTAACTATGTGGTCTAACTCAAGATTTCCTCACTTGTGGAAACATCTGCTCAACATCTACCCTGTCAAGCACATGTCCCCAACCCAGAATCTTGTATGCTTCAACAAGATCACCTCTCATTCTTTTAAACTCTAATGAGTGAAGGCCTAACCTATTTAGCCATTCTTAATAAGTCAACCTCTTCATCTTAGGAAGTAAATTACCGGATTTCTTTTGAACAGCTTCCAACACCAGTATAGCACTTTTTAAAATATGAGGATCAAAACTGTACATAATTCTTTATGTGTGCCTCAGTCAACACCCTATATATCCCTGTTTTTAAACTTTAACCCCCTAGCAATAAAGGTCAAACTTCTATTTGCCTCTATAATTACTCATTGCACCTGCATCCCAACTTATTATGTTACATGCACAAGATTACATAAACCCCTCTGCATTACACTTTTTTGGAGTTTCTGTCCATTTGAATAAGTCTGCTATTTGATTCTTCCTATCAAAGTGCATGACCTCTCACTTTCCTACATTAAACTCCAACTGCGAGGTTTCTGCCTATGCACTCAACCTAGTTATATACTCTTGCAGACTCCTTATTACAATGTGGCTTCCCACCTATTTTTTGTATTGTCACTAAATTTGGACACATTACACTCTGTCCCCTCCTGTAAGTCACTAATATAGACAGTAAATAATTGAGGCCCTCAGACCAATCTTTGTGGCATTCCATCTTTTCTGTCTCTCTAATTTGAAAAAAGATCAATTAAACCCAACTCTCTGTCTTCTGTGTGTTTACCAATCCTCAATGCATGCTAATACTTAACCCAATACAATGAGCTCCTATTTTGTGCAATAACCTTTCATGTGGAATGTTATCAAATGTCTTCTCAAAATCCAAATACACTACATCTACCAATTCTCCTTTATCAACTGTGCTTACTATATCCTCAAACAACTCTAGCAAAATGTCAAACAATACGTCCTTTCAAAAAAAAAATCTTTTTGATCAAGTCAAGCTTTTCTCAATGGCTTGCTATTTCTTCCCTAATATTGGACTCCAGCATTTTCCCAATGACAGGCGTTAGACTAACTGATCTATAGTTTCCTGCCTTCTGACTCCCTCCCTTCTTGAACAAGGGCATCACACTAACAGTTTTCCAATCCACTGGAAACTTCCCAGTGAGTTCTGGAATATTTCAACCAATGCCTCCACTGTCTCTGCGGCCATTTCCTTTTATAACCCTTTGGCTCAGGTCATTGGGTCCTGTTGACTTGTCTGCCTTTAGTTCCATTAGTTTGTCAAATATTTTGCCCCCACCAACCATGATAGAGGCTGTTACCAGATTTTTCCTCCCATTAGCGCCTTGGTTATCTGTCATCTTTGCAATATTTATAGTGTCCTTCACCATGAAGACTGATGTCAAATATTGAATTAAATTGTCTGCCACTTCCTTGTTTCCCATTATCAATTCATGAATTGCAGTCTCTAAAGGCCCCACATTTACTTTAGCTACTTGTTGTCTTTTTAAATAACCATAGAAGTTCATTTTTTTTGTTGTTTTAATTTCCTGTCAGTTTATTTTTATCAATTTTCTTCATTATTATTAGCTTTTTAGTCATCTGCTGCTGGTTCCTGAAATATTTCCAGGAATACCACTTGTTTTTGCCCCTTTGTACGCCTTAATCTTTGATTAGATAGTCTCCTTGACCAGGATTTTTTAAAATCCACTTGTGAGATGTGGATGTCCTGCATTTATTGCCCATTCCTAGTTTTCCTTGCTTTCTTGAACCACTGCAGTCCACTGCTGCAGGTTTATCCACAATACCCTTGTGGAGGAAATTCCAGGAATTTGACTCAGCAACAGTGAAGGAATGGTGATATTTTTCCAAGACAGGATGGTGAGTGGGTTGGAGGGGAACTTGCAGGTAGTGATGTTCCCATGTATCTGCAGCTTGTCCTTCTGATGGTGGTGGTTATGTGTTTGGAAGGTACTGTTTGAGGATCTTTGGTGAACTTTGGCACTGCATCTTGTAGATGGTACATATTGCTGCTACTGAGTATCACCAAATAAAAGTTTTTAAAAATACCAGCCATTGCATCCATGTAATTCTGGCAGTTAATCTTTAAACACACCGCTTCCCTCACGACTAAGGATTTCATATTATCACAGAATTATGATAGTGTACAGAGAGGCGATTCAACTCATCCTGTCTGTAACAGCTGTTCAAATGAACATCATTACCTACTGCCAGTCTCCTGCTTTATCCCCATCCCACCAATGCATACTTACACTACCACAAATATGTTACTGCGTAACACTTAAAATGTAACTTCATTCTTATGAAAATGGACCCAAATATCATCTATATAGTTGTGTTTACTGCTGCATAATTCAGGAACAGAATAGATGCATGGGATATTAATTAATTTTAACACGGAGGTCAATCTTCCATAAAAGTGAAATTTCACTATTTTTGGTATAAGGCACCAAGAGCATAGGATCGACTGAGATGAATAAATGCTTTTAGGCATTAGTTAACAAACTTTTACAACAACATTTCCACCATCTTTCCACTACAGTATCTCATGGTTCCTTAGTTCACTTTCCTAGTTTGCATCGAGATCGGGCTGCTATAATGAAATTTGGTCCTGGAGTTGCAGGAGACATGGAAAAATTCAGATAAAACATAATGAAAGGCCAATTCTTAAATCAAATATTTCTCCAATATAGTATCTTGGAAAATTCTTGCAGTTTGTTTTCCAACATGATTTTATTGAGAGTTGTCTATATAGTTTACATGCATGTAGCCTTCAGAATTTATACAGATAATGACCAATGTGTACTACAGGAAAATAGATCAAACCCGTCATAACCAAACAGAAAAAATAATGCAGGAAGGATTTTGTTATAATTTAAATATTAGGGGGTGAAAATGCAAATCCAATTTGAGCATTTCACACATGCTATTGAAATATTACTTCAATAAAACTACAAATGTGTCAATGCACTCGAATTACTCCTCAAAATTCCTCATAGCAAGGGAGATCTTAAATTATTTTTAATTAAAAATGTCCAAGTGTGCATGTGATTCAACATTGTATATGGCACGTGTAAGGATTCTGCATATGTATTTTTTGATTTTATATTTACTATATATAGGAGCTATATTTTAGTGCAATTGTCATTAAACTATGTATTTTTAAATAAAATACAATAAAGCAGGTCTAATATTATGGTCAAAATTCAATTTTCTCCACTAAGTTGTAGTTATTTTTAATTATACAGTATGGTTCCATCCCAAGTTTAATTTTAAGACTTGGTCAGGTATGTCTTCTCATTGTTATTAACTTGAGTTATTTCATTTGCATTTGCCCTATATTAAAATGTTTAAAATACTTTTCAGAAAATCCCCATTGTCAGCGTTTTTATGCTGATCTGGAGATTATTGCTAATTATTCCACTCTATTTTTGTTTTCATTGTTCATCTGTACCATTTTTCACATTCTCTCTCATTGTGAAAAGCCACGACTCTTACAATTGTCAGAGAATTGCGTGCAATTCATGGTCCGTTTTAAAAAGGAACTTTTTGGAAAATACATAAATGAATCAAATACTAATCCCAACTCAGTCCAGTGAGCCAATTCTCACCATGATGTATGCTTCTAGATCAAATGGAACTTCAGCACAGTATAAATGCCGAATATTCTGTGTGCTGAAAGTGAACATCTGGGACACATTACTCATCATGTCTGTTTCCATTTTCTGAAAGGCCTACTAGATCTGGTCATGAGTTTGCAGTGTAAATATAATATTATCAATGGCTAATAGTATATACTGATCCATAAATGTTGCTATGAAAAATTTCATTTCATCAACAGCTCGGTAAAATTGAAAAATCCTCTAAGAAACTCCACTCTCGGACCTGAGAATTTTGAGAGGAAGTCTAATCGATGTGATCTTTGTTTAACCTTATTAACACCTCATATATTTTCCGTTAACATGAATGTGATCAAATCTCACTTTAAAAATTAAGTTAAAACAAACTTGTTTGTATCGATGGGAGCGGCGCTGGGTAAACCAGCATTTGCTGCGGATCCCCAGTTGTCCTTTACATAATTGTCACCTTAATGACAGTCAGGTTTCAAATACACACCCGAATATGATTCATCAGTGAAAACCCGGTTTTACGATCTAAATTAAATCATTTCAAAACAGCTAAAACAACAATTCACAGCTTACCTTCTAACCTCATTCCCACGGTCAGGCATTTCTGAAATCGGCAATACGGACATCTCTTCCTCTGAGTTTTATCTATTTTGCAATTCTGATTCTCGGTGCAAGTGTAGCGCTTGCTATTCTGAACAGTTCTTTTGAAAAACCCCTAAGGGAAGAAGTTTGAAAGTTACTTAACATAGAAAAATGAATAAATGCAGCAAAACTAAACACAAATCGATCACTTGCGTTCTTTCCAGACATTCCCACAAATAAACCCGCCCAATAATCAACATTTGGCATCTCTTTGTACATATGTAATGGTTTTGATTTAATGGTGAACTGGTTAATTGGGTTTTCTCGTTCGCTCGATCGGGTTTCATTTCAGTTTCATCCTGATTCCGTCTGAACGGACATTGTCATTGAGTAAAGGGGTTTTAGAAACAACCAAAACCCCATTATTTGGGGAAGAAAAACACATCTTTAGAATTCACACGGCGGGTACCGTTCAGCTCACCTTGCAACTCTCACAGGTCAGCAGACCGTAATGATAACCGGACACTTTATCTCCACAGACTGGACACAGTTCATCCAAGTCATCATCATAAACGTAGTCCATCACCTTGAACTGACGGGCTGAACAGAAGAAATAAAAATTAGGCTGGCAGTGAATTTTTTTTTGCTGTAACTGTCTCTCTCTCTCACAATCTCACACACACACACACACAAAAGGGACTCGAGCCGGGTGGTCCCTGGTTTCACCGAAGTTCAGAGGTAACTGGATATTAAGAAATGCCTTTTGCCTCTGACGCTCTCTGAAGACAGTAATTTATAGAAAGCTCACAAATCACACATCAGTTTGCCATGGAGACGTTGACCTGCCCACAGACGTAACTGAGAGATGCTCCTATCGAAGCATCAATAACAAATGATTATTTGAGGTTCTGTGCAGTTCCACTGATGGACTTCCATTTCACATTTATAAAAGAAATTACACGAAAACTGAAACCCGAATATCTTGTTTATTCAGCAAGTGAATATTCAATTTATTTTCACAAGGTTTTAAAAATGTGTGTCCCACAACATTGTTAGGAAAAATAGTATTTAACATTAACAAAGATTGTAATAGAGTCCCGCTCTTTCCGGTATTTGGTCCCACAAGCTATGATTGGATTAATGCCAATCGGTGGCACTTAAATTTAACACATGCTTTATGTTCTACACGTTCAATAAGCTTCCAATCACACGGAAAAATAAATTATTAAAATCTCCATTCTGTCTACCAATCTATAAATAGCTAAACCTTAAAATCCTGTTTATCCTGAAATGGAAAAGACAATGCATTGGATGAAAGGGAAAGTGCGGCTCTCAAAGATTCGTACTTCGAGACGCAGATTGCAATTCGATTGTATGATCAGGAAGACAAACACCAAAAAAAACCCAAAATCACGAAACAAGCTATAATTTTGAACGTACAGAGCAAGAAAGACAGCTAAGACCTCCTCCAAATAATTTATTTTAATTGAGAGGGGATTATTTTTCTTACTAACTAAACATTCCTCTGGAAAAAGTTGAATTATATCCTCCCCCGCCTCCCAATTATCAAGAAAATTAATTGCCTGTGTCAGGTACTATTCAATATTCGGCTAATGAGCCATGTTTCTCCTGTAATTGGTAATGGACCGCGAGAGACATAACCAGCTTTAACGGATGTATACCTATTTCAGAAAAAAAATCTGATTGTCAAGGTGTTTCTGAAAGTCTGCGTCTCGATTCTTATTATTGATGAAAATTTGAGTCACATTAAAGCCTGTGCTGAGATCAGGTCTTAACGAATAACGTAAGATCAACGTAGGAAAAGTATCTCGTTTTAACACACACCCTTTTGTTTGGTGGATCCCGAATAAATGGTATAACGTTTTGTATTGTATATGCGTGAAATATCGCGGATGTTTCATTAGTTCAACTTTTGAACAGGAACTTTCCTTCGAAATGTTATTAATACTTAAATGTTGCACTACTGGCATGCAGGAAATATTAAACAGTCGAACCAAAGATTGATAAATTTTCATTTTCGTGTTTTTTTAAGATAGTGGGACATTAACACAGTTGCATGTCCGCTTCAATCATCACGATCCGTTGGAATTGACCTTTCATTTTAAAACCAAAAGTTTCTGCAATTGGGTAATTTATCTAAAACCATGTTACAAGTGTCACCTTTCGTCGAATCAACATATGCGTCGCTTGAGTTTAAAGAGAACGAAGCGGAAGTTTACTTCGAATATCTTATTGATTCAAAGTTTACGGGCGAAAATTTGAATAATTCAACAAAAAAGGGAGGTTTCTCCCCTCCATCGTTTTTGAACGGGAAGAAGATTATTAGAATGCTGCGGAGTATACAACGGTGCATTGTAAGGCCCGTCGTTCTCACGGGTTATATGACTTGCGGCTTTGACGTGAAGCGGAACGCCTATACTGCTTACTAAAAAGTCTTGTTGTAGAATAGCAAAAAGAAATATGATCATGTTAAACATATTAAAATACATCAATGGGAAAGTTGAACAAAATACATTTTATTTGGCGCTGACGGGAAATATGTTCAGTTACGTAGGCCGCTGACAAGAAACATTTATTTATAGGTAGAATAATCATCCAAGGGTAATTCAATTTTGTAAAGATCAGGACCAAACAGGGCAGAAAAAACATCGTTCTTAAATGAACCGGGAGGCATTAAATGCATTCAAAATCCTTCTGCGCACCTACGGGGCAATTCTGTGCAGAAATTTAAGGAACAATGCATACAAATCCCAAACAATTGCAAACGTGTTAAATATATTTTTCGAAATATATGTCAGTAGAGTTTAATTCGTCAAATTCGTAGTAACTCCGCGGGTGAAATATTCCTGTCTCGCATAATTTATGACAAAAAAAATCAAGCTGATATCTTTACGTTCGGTTACAAAAACACCTGTCCACTAAAGCTTGTATCAGCTCAGAAATCCACAAACACAGGCTTTATTCTCTAAACTCAGAGCACGGCCGTGAATAAAGATCAAGCCGAATTCTAAAGTTACTTTATTAAACCAAAACAGGCTACACAAACTGGCTGAATTCGTGCATTGAACATTTCACCAAACACTTTATTTATTCTAAGTACAATTTCTGTGCTCAACATTGGATATAGTTTAATGATACCTCAGACGAGAATCGCCTCGATTTACAACCTGTCAAAATAAAGATCCAGGCAGCCACCAGCCACTGTGTAACCGCACTGACATCAGCTACCACCTCAGTTTAGATTTTAATTAATATCATCATTATTCCAGAAAATAACATGTAGAAGAATTGCCTATTTTGAAGTAAGAAGAGCCCTTTTAAAGACAAAATTCATTGCAAACTTTGGATTTTTACGAGGAAATTCGAGTCGTTTTGCACTAGAGTTGAATTATTATTGTGATATTTCTGAAGGATCTACTAACATTGCTTGCCCCAGTCCCTCACAGTAACTTGATTCCTCTGGTAAGAAAATAAAACATTTCCGGGGAGGGATTTGGTTATAAGGAGCCGCAGTTTGGAGGTTTTTTTTACACTTTTAAAAGTCCTTTGACAGAGCTTACGAGGTTCACCGTTTCATAAATAACATTAAAATAATAATATTTGGCAACCTGCCTTTCCCCCAGACTGATCATTACCTTCAGCCTCGGGAATGACTATACATGACTCTCTCTCTCATCCTACATTGGGTCAGGGAGTGAACCAGGCGCCGAAGTAAAAGGGGCGCATGGAGTAGGCAGGGCCCTTTCCAAGTGCCGACATCCTATTGGTCCATGGTTGTCCTGGTGACAAGGCCATGAGACAATCAGGTGCTGAGTTACTGACTGATAAACGGTGGGACCAATCAGCGCGGAGCGGCTGCACAGCCGCACGTGCGCCACCTGCCGGCTGAGTGTGATTGAGCGCCGGGGAGTAGACGGCGCGGCGAGGTGAGGGCTGGGCAATATCAAAAGTTGGTTTTAATTCCCCTAGTTTTTGTCACCAGTACTGAACTGAGGAAGGATGCAAGATGGTCAATATAACATTTACTTTTTGACATCTGGTGCTGATTGTTATTACGTTATCATCACTGTTCATGACATATCTTGTTATGATTAACAACGCATACATTCCCTCTGAATGTTTTTTCCTTCGTAAATATCACTTTTTTTTAGGTTCTTGGGTTGTAAGCATCGCCAGCCCAGCCGGTATTAATTGCCTTTAACTGATTGCACCAAGAAAATGGTGAGGTGTCTTCTTTTTGATGACTGGGTATCTTGCCAGATGACTATAGCTGGTGGTTAGGAATCAACTGGATTAGTTTAGGTCTAATTTCACACAGAGCAGCTTTCCTTTCCTAAAAGATACATGAACAGGTTGGATTTTTAATGACCATCTGACAGTTTCATAGTCACTTTTACAAACACCAATTTCTCCCCAGATTATTTTGGAAATCTTTATTGAAGCATCGTCTGGAAATAAGGAGAGAGTAGGACTAATGCCATACTGAAGTAAAGGTCATGGTTGGATGGAGAACAATGGCATGAGTAACCATGTCAATTCAAAACTAATTATCAAAATGCTAACTCATATGACGTTTCAAAATTGGTTTCTTTCTTTCATTTGTGTTTTCTTAAGGAAAGTATTTTTTTCTGAATGATTTGACTTCTTCAGTCCAGTTTGCTTTTAACATTGCCAGTGATTTATATTGACTTTTGACCTGGTACAAATAATGCTTTTAATACTGATAAAATGAAACTGATCCTGAATGTGCTAATTCTCAAGATTTGTTATGGTCAGTAGATATTACAATTCAAATGTAAAATTATATTTTCTATTTTGTAATTTCAATTGTGCTTGGCATCTTTATTACAAAATGCAATTCTTTCAAAGGGATTTATTACATTTCTACATTTCAATAAAATAAAATCTAAATTTTAAAAAGCCAACAGATATGATTTAAGTTAGGTACTTATCTGCTGTTCATTGAATATCATGTTAATCATTTTATTATGAACAAGAAAGGGTAAAGGAAACATATTTTTAAACATTTTTTAAATATTTAAAATCTGGCCTATCCTGTTTTAACAAAGACTGTGGCTGTCAAATCAATTTATCCCTTTCCATGATAGGAAATTTTAAAGAAGATCTTTCAGTTTTCTATTTTTCTCCTTTCACCTCATCACTTAGTTCTGAATATTTGCTCTTGTGTGCACTCTTTTGTTTCCCACTTTGCTTACACTTTATCCATCAAGCATTCTATATTTATCTTTTTGTCTCTTTTTTGATTATTATGTGGCATGGCCTTTTGCTTCTTTACCTATTTTTATGACTTCTATATTCTTCTCTGCTTTATTCTTTTTCTTCTTTATTTCTGATTCACTTTCAAACAACCTTTGTGTCTTTATTTACATTTTTTTTATTTTGCTGACTCTATAATGTCCTGAGCTTTGTCCTGCTCTATCTTCTAGCTGTATTTCTGAAATGTCTGGATGCTGCTTTGTTTCATTTCTTGTTCTGTCCCAATAGTCTTCTTTCCTCTGTCTCTTTTTGTCTCCCAAATCTCTCCTTAGGAACTACAGGCCTTGAGTATAGTTCACCAGCACAGAAACATGAATGTTACCACTGCAACATTCCAACAGCTGTTGTTGTTCTCATCCCTGTTGAAGTATCTTTTATATTAAAAAAAAGTCAAAAGTTACTATTTATTTTAGGTTATTTTGAAGGTACTGGGAAAAGCAGGAATGTTGAATTGGACATTAATCTTCAATGACATAATTTTAAGTTTTTGTTTAAAATACTACAATATACATACGATCAGTGATGGGTGCATTATTAGAACAGAAACAACAGCTCAGCACAACATTTTTCAAATATCATTGAAAGAAACATAAGCCATACTGTTTCAAACAGTCGAAGATTTATCAGAATATATGCTGATAATTTAAGTCTTTTTCCCTAAAACCATCATTTAATGCATGTCAGTGGCAGAGGGTGATTTCAGAAATCTTGTAAAACATGACCTCATCAGTAAGCAGGAACTACCTCTCATTTCATACTCTCCTGTATATAGAAAAAAGGCAAATGAAATAAGAGTAATTAAATTTAAGTTAAACCCACAAAGCTCTTCATACAACAAATCTTTTATTAAATGAAAAATATTGTCAATGTGCATTACTCATTCATTTGTACAAAAATTGGAATAGCAGAATGTAAGCATGATGAAACATCAGTGTTATTATCATATGTGTACATTAAAAATATTACTTTAAGTGCTTTAGTTTACTAAGGTCATGAAATGTAACTACTAGTAGTAACTCATAAGTAAATCTTTCTTTCTTTATTGCAATTTCCCACACTGGTAAAAATTATCATTGGTGTTATAGCATGAAAAATAAGATACATTGATGTAGGGATTATTGCAAAGCTAAAATCTTTTATCCCAGTGACTGCTGAAATGGTATTCAGCTGTCAGTTGTTTGAATTAAGTACACTGTTTTCTTTTCAGTGTGGCTTGCTGATATTTCATTCAAAACTCATATCCCTCAGGGAATACAAAAACCTTGTTAGAAAGTTCAATGCAGTTACCTTTCCAATTTTATTTAAATATTGATCATTGTTTGTTAAACTATATTTGAAACAAATTTTTTAACCAAAGATCTTAACAAGATGCAAGTACTTTGCATGGGCCCAGTCGCTGCATATAGTCTCATTGCTCAAATGATTACTGCTAATATTTTCAGTATATGTTCAACAAAATCAATTCACTGTAATTTTTCAAATAAATAAGGAAAAAGCTGTTCATTCCTCCCTATATCAGTCCATCAAAAAATTAAATTCTAAATAAAGTATTTAAATATAAATTCATGCTTATTTGAGGATAAACTGATAACACTACTATAAAACATATTCTGAAAAAAAAAATAAATACTGACATTTTTCTTCAACATTAAATATATGTATTTGGTTTAGTTGTGAAGTGTAATTAGAATGTGAGACATTTTAATGAATAAAATTTATCCACTTCTGATTGTATGTGAATCACAGATATTTAAATTCAAAATAAGGAAATGGAATTTGATCAAATTTAAGATGTATTTTTCCACCTTAACTTGTGATGTATTATGTATATACTCATGTTGAATATAACAGCAAATAACTTCCCCTCCCCCATTCCCTTCAATAAAAAGACACAAGGTAAACAATACCTTTGAGAGTTACAATTCAACATAGTTATACAGTATCTTTGGAGTGCTATAGTTTTCTTAACAAGTAACTAACTAAATGTTATTTCAAATATAAATATGCATTTAGATCTATGAGGCTCTATTTAACTAGAGTAAACATTTTTACTTCAGAAATCTTTATAAACAATAAATAAAGCATATAGGGCATTAATATATTTTAAAGAATTTCCTTGAAATGTGAATTCTATTTTATCTGGTAGTTCATGACAAATGACAATTTCTCAAATTAATGTTCCAAATTATTTCTTTGAAACAAAAGAAATTTAGAAAAAAACGAGTTCCTGAAGTACAAATTCCTTGAAGTAATTTGACAATAAATTAGCATCAATATCATCTGTTTCTCAGCCATGTAATCAGTTGTATTTCATCTTTTTGGTTGCTCTTTGAATATCTCCAACAAAATAAAACTATTTCATTACCTGATTAATTTTAATATAGAATTTAATATAATTTTAAATATCCTTTTGGAGCAGTATATTGTAACAAAATACTTGTTAAACAATATAATTAGATTTTTATGACTACTTTGTATAAAGTATGTTATTTCTCAATGCTGTACGTGTAGTTCCTTTAAAAATGTACACTGTTAATGCTTTTTCTTCCCTGGAATGTAATGTGTTTTCTATTGATTCATTTTTGCTACTACTATCACAATGTAATTTTCTTTCTTAACAGAACAAGTGAGTAGCAAACATGTGTAATTGCTTATTAATACAAAGTGCCAGGGCATTATATTAAGAAAAACTGCAGTTTTCTTTTAAAGGAAGGTATTTACAATCTATTACCAGACGTAGTAAGACATTCTTGGCATTGCCTATGTCTGCAAAAGTTTTTTTTAAATTTAGGATACACTAAGATTTAGATGCAGTATAACATTTTTCACAACACTATTAAATAAATGTAAAGGAAAGATTATATGTATAAATTTTCAAGCTATATTTCAAACTAACCTATAAAATAACAAGAACTACAATTCTGCTTTGTAAGATCTGTTGATAAATTAGATACTTTGAACAGTGTCAATTTGTGTGTCTACAACTTATGTCCCATAGTTCCCAACTTAAAACCTAATTTTTTGATAACATGTACGCTCTTGAAAACATAGCTGGATTGTTCAATTTTTCCATTACTGCTCATTTTTCAAAAAATCTACGTCTTTTTATATGTATCTTACATTTTGCCAGGTAAGAATGAAATAAATGTTTCAGGTTTGGTTTTATTTACTTTTGTTTACATTTTCTGGCAACATATCTGGAGTATCTTTATGATGCATATGAACTATTATGATAATGACTTACAAATGAATAATTTTTATGAGTTTGTCAACATCCTAGACTCGCCACTTATTCGAAATCTCAGTTGCACTTTCAATAAACTTTGAATTCAAAGATAGTACGTTGCTGAAGTACAATTTTATAATCAAATGCAGTACAATGAACTTGTTTATTTAAAACACCTTATGGTGTTTTAAAACTAACATGTAACAGATCCACCTTTATAAATGTTTGAAAATACTTACATGTATCTGGAGTAGTTTGTTTGATGGAACTGCCAGGCGGAACCAAAGAAGAACTACCAGACATTACTCCTTTAAAGGAATCCACTCCAAACAGCGTTACCTCTGGCCTAGTTTTAAATATCATTCAATTGAAAAAAAATCAAATGGGTTGGAAAACTAAGGTGGTATACTAGTTACTGAACTCTGATCAGGATGTGTGTCAATGCTGCTGTAAACTGCACAAGGCAGATCATGATGGGGGCTAATCAGAGAAATAGGATCTTGTTCTTGACATTTGATTGGTTCTTCTGGTCAGGTGACCTCAGAGAAGATGATAAGAAATCCTCATTACAAACTGACAGAATGACAGATAAGGTTTTTTTTTATAACACAGATAATACAAAAGAAATAATTAACCAAGACTAGTGGAGAGGGAATGAATGAAAAAATTTTTCATCTTGAAATGTAAAGAAGGCTTGTGAGAGAGGACTTAATGGACTTTCTTCTTTAAATGGTTAATTGTCTCTTTTCAGCATAGATTTGTGTCTTTAACTAGTTTCAGTTTTTACATAATGAATTATGTATGCCAAGAGGATTTCCCATTGAAATTAGTGTAAAATTAGTGTACAAATCCTCTAAACCTGAAAAGCTTTGTGGATAGCAATTTGTGTAAATTCATATGAACTACTTGGCAAGTTTATTCAGGAGCTGATATTTGCATTTAGGACTATGAAGACCAATAAAGTTATGATGAAAATACATTATGGTTGCTGTAGCAAATATAAACTGAGAGCCATTTAGTTATTATGAATATATATCATGTTTTACTATGGCATTAGTCAAACCAAAGAATATTAAAGGAACAGCAAAAATGACTTACACTTGTACCTTTAATACAACGAAACACTCTAAAACACTTCAGAAAAGGATAGTTTTGATGTGATGCTAATGTTGGGAGATTTAAGAAAGGTGACCAAAGATTTGATTTAAAATAAAGTGTTGATGAAGCTTTTGAAAATCTGGGAGGTTCAGTCAGGCAGCATGTTTGAGAAGAGACTAACAGAATGCTCTTCCAAAATGGTTAAAGGCTTTCCACCAATGGAAGGGTGGAAGTTAATGGGGAGAAATACTCTGCGGTCTAGGCTCAGAAAAACAACAATTGTGTGCCAAAGCATTGTGTTGTAAGACATTTGCAAAGATATGTGTCTGAAAAAAATCATGGAAGGGTTTGTAAAAGAGAATGAGGACTTTTAATCAATTACATTGGTAGTAGGAGACAAGTGGAAATTTTGACATTTATCTATGAAGGTCTTCATATCAGATGGTACGTGGACAGTGAAATTTGATGTCTGTCATGCTTTAAAATCAGGAGACCACCCATCAAGACCCTGGGAAGTCAAGTATTGAGGTGACCAAGGCATGGTTATTTTGAGCAATGACCTTGACAAAATTATTGGTGCAGGAAACATCCTTGTATAATTCATACTTGCAGGAAGATGAATTTGTATTCAAATAAAATGAAGCAGTCTTGCTGGGACAAAGAGCCTTTTCCCATGCTTAAGTTTCCTTGTGTGCTCATATTAAGAGATTTGCTGCACAAAGGACAATCTTGTGAGACATTGTAAAATTTACTTATAACTGATGGTATGTGCTGCAAAGTGTTATTGACCCAATAGCAAAACTGATGTTTACAACTATGCCATTATCATATTCCAAAGTACTAACAGTTTAGATGTCTTTTAAAAAAAAGGCAGAGAGTTGAAGAGAAGTAGCAGAACAAGTGGCACATGAAAATATAATTATCCGTATCAGTAATGTTTAAGGAGGGCTACTGCATATGGGGTTATTCAGGCTCTAAGGCTTTGGGATTTTTAGAAGCATGATAGTTGTGAAACTAATTTTTAAATTGTAAGTGCTGTATAAGTTTGAATATTTTGTTGAGTTGAATCAGAAAGAAGTACATATTGTAACACAAGTGACAGTATATTTTCTGGAAGTACCCGAAATGATATGAGATGTTTCAATTCAGTGGATCTCCCTGGTTGTGCAGAGAATAGTGTAAAGTTGGTGGAATGTTCAAGGTTATAGCACATTCGTTGGGCTGAATTTAGCTTCTTCTGTACTAAGTCCCCTTCAAGGGGTCTAATCCCCCTTCCCAACCAGTGAGAAAGCCCTCAGGATTGTGCCAGTCAGATACTTAAGTGGTGACTTCATTGGCTTCTCATTCTAAAGGGTATCTTGCCAGTAAAGCCCTGCCTTGCCTGAAGTTGCTGGCCAATGAGAGGCCAGCAGCCACTAGAAGCCAGAGTGGGTGGTGGAGGTCAGCTTGTACAGCCATGGAGACCTGATCTGGACATAGTGTTTTATTGGGGGGGAGGGTGGGATCATCGAGAAAGAAGGTCAGTGGCTTTCAGTCTCCACCTCCCCAAATCCCACCCTAGCCTCCACTGATCCAAGATTGGAGCAAGTGCAGGTACTCTAACCTGGCCAGGCAGGCCACACTGGTTTTCATGTTGGAGAAGCAGGTATTTTCTCACCTGCTGGGAAGTCAGGTAGTTTGGCCAGTGTCAGACTAAGGCCCATAAGTGGCCAATAATTGAGCACTTAAAAGTCTTATTTGGTGGGTCAGGAAGATTCCCCAAGGACCTTCCCAAGGTGCCAGAGATAACCTGCCTGATTATTTGCCCTTCCTGCCACCTACCCTGCCACTATCAGGGAGGGCAAAATTCCTCAATAGTATTTCTCACATGAGAAAATCTCATTGCTATGAACATTGAGAGGCAATGTTCTTGCAGTATTATCACTTGACTATTAATCCAGGGACCAAAGTAATGTTCTGGGAAGCCAAGTTCAAATCCTGCCATGGCATATGGTAGAATTTGAATTCAATAAAATCAATCTGGAAAATTAAGAGTCTAACGATGACTCGATTGTCAGGAAAAAAACCATCTTGTTCAGTAATGTCCCTTAGCGAAGCAAACTACTGTCCTTACTTGATAAAAACTGAAAGAACTGCGGATGCTATAAATCAGGAACAAAAACAAAGTTGCTGGAAAAGCTCAGCAGGTCTGGCAGCATCTGTGAAGGAAGAAACAGAGTTAACGTTTCAGGTCCGGTGTTGTTGTTGTTGTTGTTATTGTTGTGTACTATCCTTACTTAGTCTGGCCCAAATGTGACTCCCAACCCACAACAATGTAGTTAACTCTTAACCACCTTCTGGGCTCTTAGGAACAGACAAAAATGCTGGCCTAGCCTGTGATGCCTCCATTCCAATGAATGAATTTAAAAAGTCCAAATTTAGTAGGTTTTTTTTACGAGAGCGATGCTAAAGTGGAAGACATGTTAAGCAGAGTGGATGAGTGCTATAACTCCTAATATTTTGAATGACATGGATTCAGTAATACAGTGCAAATTGATCAGATTCATAAATGATAACCAGACTGCAGACATTGGAGTCAGGTGGCATATGATATCCCCTGAGCTACAAGAGTATGGACCAAAATTCCAAATGGATAGAATTATTGCAGTTAAAAATTGTAACCAAAAGCTTGTGAACCTTCTTTTTCACTGGGATTGAGACCATCTGTGTAATTGGCTCTACTGCTTCCCATCACTCATCAAACTCAGCCCCTCCCAACCCCTCCAATCACCACCACCATCATCTCCAATTTGGCTTTGCTGTGAACTCATACAAAAATGTAATCAAAATGAGCACTGGGATAAAGAATGAGATACAAGGAGATGTGGCTAAATCTTGCTGAAATTAGTGGGTTTTAACATGGGTCATATAGTTCGGGAGGCAGAACAGTTTAGGGAAGGAATGCCAGTGCATTAGAATTGGACAGTAAATGGCCACCAATGATGATTGAAGGAATATGTGATCTAGAATGTCAAAGCCAGTGAGTTCATTGTGATGGGTGTCAAGCTATAAGAGATTACAGAGGTGGGAAAGGTAAGGACATGAATGGACCTAAGCACAATAACAAGGAGTTTAAATTTGACATCTTGAATGATCAAGAACTAATTTAGGTCAGAACAAGACGATGAGTTAGTAGGATTATGCAGGATTGTTTTTTAATGAGTTTATGTTTACGACGGAGGCAGGTCAGAGTGACATTAAAATAGTCAAATTTGAAAATGACAAAGATATAGATGAGGCTTTCAGTGACAGAAGAACTGAGTTAGGCAGTGTGCCAGAGATGGATGCAGACAATGTTATGGAGATGGGGATAGCTAAACCTCCAGATGCAGAACAAATGTAGTTAACAGGTCAGATTATGGTCATATAGGATCAACACTTCTTTTTGTTCTTTATTTGTTCATTGGATATGAGCATTGCTGGCAAGACACAGCATTGATTACCCATTCTTAATTGCCCTTAGAAAGATGGTGCTGAGTACCTTTTAGAAAAACTACAGTCCATCTGACGCAGGTATGGATTACGGTGCTGTTAGGGTGAGAGTTCCAGGATTTTGACCAAATGACAGTGAAGGAATGCAGTAGTTCCAAGTTAGATGGTATGTGGCTTGGAGGGGAACTTACAGTTGGTAGTTCCCATGTCACAGTTGCAACTTGCCCTTCTAGATGTGTCATGGTGTGGAAGGTGCTACCAAAGGATTGGCAAGTTGCTGCAAAGTATTTTGCAGTTGATACACACTGCTACTACAGTGTACCAGGAGTAGAAGGAGTGAATATATAAGATGATATATGGCTTGTGATCTCTCTGTTTCAGCCTGACTGAGAGATATGGAAAGAATATCAAGTTTTAGGTAGGATGAATGCCATAGAAGCGTATAAGTTCACAGCCAGGCCAGATTGGAGATGATGGTGGTGGTGATTGGTGGGATTGTGAGGGACTGAGTTTGATGAGTGGGAAGCATTACAGCGACTTAATGGAAGCAGTAGAGGCAGTTACACAGATGGTCTCAATCCCAGTGAAAAAGAAAGTTCACAAGCTTGTTCTACTTCCTCATTATTGAATAGTGTTGAATTGATTTTAGCGGGAAACAGTGCAAAAGATCTGAAAGTGATGGTTTAAGCATTGCGTGGTACTAGTGGAACATACATCTGGGAACATCATTGTCTATCAAGGTCATAACTTGTAAACTATGATGTGTTCTGTGTATTAAAATGCAACAACATCGAAGCAACATGCATGAATGAAAAATTATAGAGAACATAACCTAAATATCTGACATGTGATTCTGGCAGTGTGGTTCTTAGTCAGGTGTGCCCATTTATAAAATTATCCCTACTACATAGCTATCAGCTGAAAGAAAGAAGGTGATTTACTAAGTACAAGGATAGAAACAATGATATAAGCCATGCCTAATCTACACAGGTATTGATTCGACTTTTAAAATTGTTGGTTGTTTTCTTTGAGCACTCTGATGGAAGCCTAAAACATGTCTTATGTTGCTTATAAACTGAAAGCTGTTGAAGGATCCATTTCTAAAGCTTGATGATAAATGAAGTAGGTGCTGGTCCTGCACTGTTCACAAACCTTCAACAGCCCTGGATAAACAATGAGGTATGGGATTTCATTTTAAAAATCCTTTTTCTGTGGAGCAAGAAGGAGCAGGAGTGTTTTGGTTTGTGAGGACATGTGACAATTGAGTGTGTTGCTGAGGCCTAAACTCTAATTTCCTTGTTCAGGCAATGCTGGCTGCTAATACAGCACTAAGTAATTTCAAGGCCACGGTTGTTGACTGACTTGTGATATTGTTATAAACTGTTTGGTTAAAAAATACTGTTCATCTTGTTAGAGCATAAATGCTTAACATAAAGATCTTCTCTGGTAACTTATTGGAGCCATTACTTTTTATTTTAAATGTTATAGTAAACAGAAATTTCACATGTAAGATTTAACCATTAATCTAGTTCCAATGATTATTTTCTTTTTAATAGAAAGAGAATCGTACTAGAAATGTGGGAAATCAGCCAGGATCTTAAAGACACAAATTTATGGTGTGATTGTTAATATTTCTGCTTCTATTCCATATATTTAATGTTCATGATCTATTTTTTATCCTTAAGTTAAAGAAAGAAATTAATACAAAAAGAAGCAGAACCATAGCAGAAATATAACTGCACATATTAAGATATAATTTTGTGCTAATAGCAAAGATATTCTTGTACTGCTTTGTCTTTGAAATCTTTTAGATGGATGGTTATGTTACCCAATAAATTACTTGCAATCTTTCCACACAAGATATACACTAGTTTATTCAAATATAGAATTTGGAATGGAGAAAAAATGGCAAAAATGAGCTTTGCAATGACCCCTCTCTGGAAAAAGTCCACCAGGAATTTTCATTACCTAGTCATAACTACTGACACCTACTGACTACCTTACCGATCTTAAAATACAGCCTACGAGTATGGCTCGGTAACCTTTAACCTGCTGTAACAATGTACTCACTGAGAGGAAATGCTCATCTTGGCTCAAAGCTAAATCAGTGTATGTCATGTAGCCACTTAACAGATTCTATCACAGAAAACAAATACCCTGTTGACAGTTTTGATAAAACAGAGAAAGAGACATATAGTCAGAAGGTAATATCCTTGTCAATAATATATTTTCCTAGTCAATAAATTTTGAGGAAAACATGGGCTTTGCCTGAAAGCTTATTTGCTTTAATTTATTTACCATAGCCATTGGGGCTGAAAGATGGGACTGTGTCACAAAATGTAAATAAGACTGAATGGGCTTTCTCAGGTCTTGTGTACTTGCATAGCCCAATAGACACTCTTTGATTTTTGCAAGAGACATCATAAACTACTTAATTGCTAAGATGCTGGAAGGTAAATTAGGGTTAAATCTGCAACTCTTCGTATAGTTCTTCAGTTGTTCTGCTTCCTCACCTGGGGATTCTGGTGTGTAGTTGTAGATGCTGGAGCTGGGTGCTGTTTATTACTTTGTGCATTGATTAACCATTATGCAAGTGCACAGCCTCATCATGATTAGTTGGTGAACTATCACAATCCAGACCAATCATGTCCTTGCATTTTCAGTGGGGGTCACTGGTCTGAAAACTTAGATCTTGAGCCTCAATCAAATTTCTAATTAGAAGGCAGAAAACAATTGTACTAGACACAGAACCACTATCTCAACTGCAGTTGGGGTTAATTTTCCCATTTTTGAGTGAGATACATGGTGCTCATTCTGTCATGATCAATATTGACTGTTATCTTGGAATTTTCTGTTCTATGTGATCAGTGTCTTTGTGCCCATCTTGTTGAATCATGTGGCAGGAGAATCACTTGCTACTACCAGGGCTGTTGGATTTTAATCCCAGCTGCACACTCTTTCAGATGCTGAAAGCCAGGAACTGCCCCTCACCCTGTGGTGTTTGACTATCATCGTTAGTGATTTGGCTCAGAAAGGGATGTTGGTACCCTGCTTCACCAAAAGGGACCGGGAGGTGCTGGGTTGGAGAAGAGGGCAGTGCTATTTTTTTTTCTACTGACTGTCAAAAGAGCACACACCACCAGACTCAGCCAGCCTTGACCACAATAGTGGTTCACTCAGTATATTGTCCCAGGCTAAGAGAAAGGCATAGCAGTGCAGGATGGTGTTGAATGATCTTCTGCACTCCAAGTTGTAAGCGTCACTATTTCCTCTCTCTACTTCAAGCTTACAGGGCTGCCATTCACACTAACTCTGCCATTGCACACCTTGTCATCAAGGCTCATGGACAGCAACTCTGTCTGTCTTCTAGGGTGGCACAGTGGCTCAGTGGTCAGCACTGCTGCCTTGCAGGACCAGGGACCTGGGTTCGATTCCAACCTCCGGTGACTCCGTATCTCTGTCTGTGTGGAGTTTGCACGTTCACCATGTCTGCATGGGTTCCCTCTGGGTGCTTGGGTTTCTTCCCACCATCAGAAGATGTGCAGTTTAGATGGATGTGCAATTTAGCATGGCCAATAGTGTCTAGGGATATGCAGGGCTATGGGGATGGGGTGGGTCTGGGTGGGATGCTGCTCAGAGGGTTGGTGTGCATCTGAGTTGTTGGACTACAAGGGAGGTTGTGGTTTCACAAAGCCCCTTGCACCATACAAAGAGAAAATGTTGGTTTCAGCCAGAGAAGACTTGTTGGAATGCAGAGACCTCCACAGGCAACAAACTCAATTTTTAAAAAAAAGATCTTCCACACTCTGCAAGGATAAGTGTCACTATTTCCTTCTGCTACTTAACACTTGTAGGACTGCCATTCCCATTGACTCAACCATTGCACATCTAGACATGAAACCATAATTGTGCCGCTTGATCTCTCTAATTCATTCATTGAATCCGTACAGTGCAGAAAGAGGCCATTTGGCCCATTTGAGTCTGCACCCACACTCCCAAAAAGAATTCCACTCAGACCCCATAACCCTGCATGGGTTTTTTTTTCACTATGGTGAACCCAAACATCCATGAACCAGAGCACCTGGCGGAAACTCCGGCAGACACAGAACGGGCAACCTCCACACAGACAGACAGTCACCTGAGGCTGAAATCAAACCCAGGTTCCTAGTGCTGCAAAGTGGCAGAGTGGTTAGCACTGCTGTCCTAATCTGCACAGGCTTTTATCCCTTTTGTGCAACTAAATCCATTTTGAGGGGACACTAGTATCCTTGTGAACCTTTAGAGGCCAGCATCACAGACCGTTAGGTGACCTGCATTTCTGACACTGAACTTTCAGAGGATGCTTCCAACAGCTCAAAGACTTTGACCTCAGTGGATTTTTCTATCTAAATGAGACTCTGGAACACAATCTGATGAGTAGCTCGCTAACTTTTTTTTTACCACCACACCCACCCCTCCCCCACCCCACCCCAAGATTTTCGGAGCTAATGGAGGAAGAAATGCTTTAGGTCTCTGACACTCACCTGCCCAGCCTCATGCAGAAGACAATCCCATGGTCTTTACCACTAATGATGTCCACAAATGCACAGGCAGGCATGGAACAAAAGGTGATTTTCTCCGAGATTGTATGGAAGCTGATTAAAGGATGGAGGAATCCACCAACCGTATCAGTGTGTGCTCTGGCATGTGTGCATCTGGTTGCCTTTGTGGACAAGTTGGCTACCACCATGTAGATCCAAGTCCAGCATGATCTGCATCTGCCAGATATGCACATGAACCTGAACTCCATAGTTACCACCATTGGTGCTTGGCGTCAGTGGTAAGGCAAGAGAGGGATGGGAGACCTCAAACCTCACTCCAGGTATCCCTTCTCTCTGAGTCAGTATGGTGCAAACCTGTACCCAGTGGGAGGAGAAGCCACACACAGGACCACGACCCAACCTGAAGCTGCTCAGCACCTCCCCACTTCCTGTGACACCAAACCCAGTAAAAAATCCAAGCTGAGAATGTAACCCTGCATCTGGGCAGGATGGACTTGGCAGGCCTGGGCTCTCTAGATCCAGATACCTCCAGTGACAACCAGCCAAGTCTTTCAAGCCAACAGGACTAACTACAGAGCAGTCTCCCTCCCAGCTATAGATATCAACCATTTCAATGATATGGCTAAGAAAATATTTAATCAGTAAAAGTAAAGTTCAAGAATTGCAAAATATAATTACAACCATAGGTACTTTGACGGGGGACGGGGTGCTTGTCATAAAGTCACAGTGAAAGGAAATCTAAACCTAGGTTGTTCATCCTGGATGTGGGTTTCAGTGAGGTTCACTCTGGCACTTATAAATGATTGCTCTGTTGGCTGTCCACAGAGCACCAACTGATCTACGTGTATGCCCTGATTTATTGCACTGACCTATAGGACCTGATCATGACCCAATCCCAAGGCCACAGATCTCTGGAATCTGGTAGGATCGTGTACTAAGTCTAAGCAGCTGGACTATAATCAGACAAGTGCCTTGACTGACTGATGGCACTGTCAACTGACCAAAAGCCATAAGCTGCACAATGTATGTGGGTGTCTCTGTGCACAAAGCTGCCTGGCAGAAACACATCGTAAGTTCTTTTCCATGTGGATCAGCAGTTCTGAAGAATGTTGTTGTAACATATTACAATGACTCCATCAATAAATGCTAACCCCTAATGATGTGGACAAAGCACTAAATCGATGCAAGTGCCTTTTTTTAAAATTTGGTTATAATTGTCAGTGTGAAAGTGATAATACAGCAAGCTAGGTGAGGTTCTGTAGGTGTAAACTGTTAGATAGTCTGCTTCAGATCTATACTTGAAATTATGTATATTTGTACTTCAGAACGGCTTTCAGAAATTAGTAAATAAAATTTTGTGGATTATTTTTGTTAATGCTCAATGGTGTATGTATTTCACAATGCTCATTTGATAAATTTCTTTGAAATTTAAGTGAAAGTTTAGTATCTACTGAGCCTTCATTTTTTTCATCAAGATCTTTTGCATAATATATTTCAATCTCCACAGTGACCGCAACCTTTTTGAAAGAAGAGATTTGAGCTTCCAGTTAGTAGTTTAAAGAATGATCCAATAAAACGTCACATTTTTAAAATTTTACCGTACCAAATGACTGAACTTGTGGTCAAAAAATGCCTGGT